ATTTTGTTATTGTAAATAGTGTTGGCATGTACCTTAAAGTTAAATTGTATATACTCTGATAAGCTTTTGTAAAATTTTGATTTAATTTATGTAAATTATTAAGTTTATTCAAATTAAGTCTGAAAATCTCCTTTATTTTATATAAGTAAATAATTTTAAAGGTTGATGTAACACCTCGAACTTGTATTCGGGTCAGATACGGGTTGGGGTGTTACAAAGTCCCTACCTCAAAACTTTATTAATGTCCTCTTCCTCATCTTCATGTAGCATTGCATCAATCAAGTTTCTACGTTTCAACTCCCTAAGAGTAAGGTGGCCATTCTAAGATCTATTTATATAGTAATATATTTTGTATATTACAGTTTCAGCTGGCCATATGAAACAAAAGTTATGTTAACAAATAACATCAGACAAAATGTGCAACATATTTGGCGGTAATAGAGGCAATCTAAACTTGCAAATAATTGAAAAACACAGTAAAAGTTTATGCTAGTTGTTTGAGCGACAATAAACAACCTCTATAATGGGTGAGAGCCCGGAATATTAAGACATATATTCTTTAAGTTGTAATGTATGAGTGAAAGTTCCAAACTTGTGAATAAATTAAATCAATCAATGACACAGAAAAAGTGATAGAAAAGGAAAGTGGAATAGACAAAGTTCAATTAAATGAAAAGCTTTTTCTGCATATAGAATGTAGTTTGGACCAAGGAACAAAAATGGCATCTAACTCAGACAAACCTGAGAAAACATCTTATCAACAATCCGGTAGGTAAGCGCGTGGTTACCATATCTGATAAGGTTCTCCTTGTCAATCAAGAAATCATGATCTATATCCAGCTCACAAAACTTACAGTTGCAAAAGTGCTCATATGAAAAGTACTTGTACATATAGTATAAAAGAAGAGAGAGATTGGAATGTAAAAATAATCAGTATCAGGCAATGTATTGAGCATGCATAAAAAAACAATTATATAAACTTATTCCAAGTCAAGTCTGTAACATCCCAAAAACCGGGCTAGTGACTAAACTAAAAGTTTTTGAAATTTGATGATCAATTTAGGAAAAATTGAAAAGTTTATGAACTTAAATAGGAATATTTTGGTATTGGATTAAATACCAAAGATGGAAGGAATAAAGGGTATTATGGTCTTTTTAGTTTAAAGATATTTTATCTCATTTATTAAGAGATAAGCACGTGGGATTTGGGAGAGTTATCTGGAAGTTATTTCCTCTTGTCTTCTTCTTTTTCTTCTTCTTCCCGTTAGCTCAATTTCAAAGGTGAGTTGAGTATAGCTGTTTATTTCTTGAATTTTTAAGTTGGTTCTTGTTCTTTGGGTGTTATATAAGCTTAAAGAAAGCTTATATAAGATTAAAATAACAAGATAAGAGAATTAGAAAGGAAATTGTAATAAGGGTGTAGAAGTGAATTATTGATATGATATAGTTTTTGAAGTTTTGTTTATAAATTTGACTTGTCGTAAGAAGGATTAAGAAGTCTAAAGTATTAGAAATGAGTTTAGAACATGTTGAAAGTTTAGTAAAATTCTTAATTGCAAGAGTTATGGTGAGACATTGAAAATGATGATGTGTTATAGTGTTAAAAGATGGTTTAAGTATGTATAGTTGAGTTTAATATCATAAAGAGAGTTAAATAAAGGGAGTTTAAGTGAAGTATTGGTAATTTTCGAGTTAAAGAAGTATATTCTGGGTTAGTAGTATCGGTATTGGTTGAGCAAGTACCGATACTACAAGGCAAAATATGTGATAATTATGCATAGGGTATCGATACTGCATGAACAATATTGATACCATAAAGCAAAAGTGGGATAAATCTTCATGGGGTATCGATACTGAAGGGATAGTATCGGTACCATGGGTATCGATACCAATATGGAAGTATCGGTACCATTATTGCAAGGAAATTACATAATCGATAATAGGTATCGATACCGTGGAAGGGTATCAATACTACAAGCATAGAGGTATCGGTACTGTACTTGTAGTACCGATACTACTTATAGTACCGATACTACTTAAGTTGGAAATTAGAAATTAGTGCTTTATTTAGTTTGCATTGGTAAGAATCTTTTCGAGTATTTCGAATTTCGATATTCATTGGATTGTATATTCGTGTAGATATCGATCGAAAGAAAAATCTGGATAAGTCAACAAAGTAAAATTTACCGAGGAAGAGAGATAAGAGATTGGTATTGACAAGTGAGACCAAGGTGAGTACATGATATTATGTATAGGCTATTTTATGGAATTAAGACTTGCGATGAGTCTAATTCCTATATTAGATTGTATGAGTACATTAATGCACGTATGATATTGAGATGGTGCTTATGTGTACATGAGTATATGCATATGTCTATATGTTAAGTGAATTTCTATACATGATTTACATGAATACCTGTTATGTGAGATGATTTTAAGTAATATGCTATATATGACTATAAGCTATGAGAATGTTATGTGATCTATACTAGGATAAGTTATGAGACTATATGTGAAATGATATGAGTCATATGAGTACATGTATATGTGATGAATTGGTTGACTACGTGAACATGCGAATATATGTCTATGAGAAGACATAAGAATAAGATATAAGCCATGTGACATGTGAATCATATGGAAATATTCTACGTGTAAGTGAACTAAGTGCTTATTTGAATGTCTGAAATGACATAAATGATAATGCCCATGTTATGTGATATGAGAGCTAGGGGTATAGTTGGCATGCCAAGAGTCGAGGGTTCTATGTGGTCTTTCGGGATATATATGTAATCCTTTGGAACATATATGCGGTTCTTCGGGACACATATTTGGTCCTTTAGAATATATATGTGAACCTTAAGGAGTGGTCATTTGGGACATATATGTGGTCCTTCGAGACATTTCTATGTGGTCTTTCGGGACAATTTTATATGCCCCTAGTGGGAATTTATACGAGCTGTGGTGACAACATACGTGTACAACTTCAATGTACTCATATATCTTTAGTTCTCGAAAGTATACATGGGCTAATAAAGAGATAAAACAAATACACTGTATGTGATATATATATATATATATGAAATGTATTATAGGATTTATGTGATATTGTGTGTGTTGCTTGGTTAAAGGTATGATATAATGGTTAGGAATGTTATGTATTAGAGTATATAATTATAAGGACTAATGATAAGATTGGTAATAATGAAAATGATGGTACATGAGTATGTAAGCATTTGTGATATGATTTGGTATGATATTATCATATTTAATGTACATGCATTGTTAAATAGTTAAAGTTTCCATTATTCGTTTATATGTCTCACTAAGTCTATGACTTAGAATGTAAGTGTTTCACACGTAGGATCTAAGACGCGGAGACATCATAACATCATCAAATATCATATCAGAAGTAAATTAGCAGTAGGTTATTTTGTTATTGTAAATAGTGTTGACATGTACTTTAAAGTTAAATTGTATATACTCTGATCAACTTTTGTAAACTTTTGATTTAATGTATGTAAATTATTAAGTTTATTCAAATTAAGTCTGAAAATCTCCTTTATTTTATATAAGTAAATGATTTTAAAGGTTGATGTAACACCTTAGACTCGTATTTGGGTCGGATACGGGTTGGGGTGTTACAAAGTCTCTACCTAAAAACTTTATTAATATATTATTCCTCATCTTCATGTAGCATTGTATCAATCAAGTTTCTACGTTTCAACTCCCTAAGAGTAAGGTGACCATTCTAAGATCTATTTATGTAGTAATATATTTTGTATATTACAGTTTCAGCTGGCCATGTGAAACAAAAGCTATGTTAACAAATAACATCAGACAAAATGTGCAATATATTTGGCGGTAATAGAGGCAATCTAGACTTGCAAATAATTGAAAAACACAGTAGTAGTTTATGGTAGTTGTTTGAGCGATAATAAACAACCTATATAATGGGTGAGAGTCCAGAATGTTAAGACATATATTCTTTAAGTTGTAATGCATGACTTTGTTTAAGAGAGTTTAGTTTCAGTCACAATATACACAATATATTTCCATGTAAACCCTCTCATATGCACGTTAAATTGTTAATAATCAGTCCCAAATATAATAAGCAAAATATACGGTTACTCAGGAATCTAGATTAAACTAAGAAAATGATGAATTATTAGAACTTATGCAAATTCATCATCATAAACCTACACATTTTAAAAAATGGAAGCATAGCCATTGAAACTAAAGATTAGGACTGATAAGAACTACGCCGCCAATCTTTTTTACTAAAAATAAGTGACTAACATGATAAACAAGAATATGAATCATGTTTTCTAGGCACCTTATTCTTTCATAAAGAGAAGTGCAAATTTCAACACCATCTCATCAAAGAACAAGTTTGCATTCTTGCTTTAATAATATGCTATATCCATTTTATTAATAGTTTTTAACATAGCTTTATAAACAATCAAACATATTATAAACAAAACTACTTCATCAATGAACCAAGCTGAACTGCATTCGTAGAAATTCCCACAAAAATATATGCATTTACAGGATTTGCAAGTTCAGATCATAGTGGTTACAGGATTTAGTGTAGGAGTTAGTTTGGAAGCAATTCATACAAAGTTCAAATGCCTTAGATATTGTAAAAGGAGGGGGACATATCGAAAAGGTGAAAGAACACCCAAAAATAAAAATAAAAATGAGAGAACATACAAAGGTATTGTTAGATGGCTATCTGTTAGAATGTTGTTAAGACATCATGTGCATATAAAGGTGGTTAGTCTATTAGGTTGGTTAGCTAAGTCAGTTAGTTTGTTAGGTGGTTAGTGGTTAGCTAACCCATTGTTATAAAAGAAGTGTACCAACTAATATAAAGGTACTGCAATTCTTTACTGTGTATATTCTGTCATTCACACTTCCTAACATGGTATCATTCGCCAAAGTCCTGGGAATTTTTGGTTTCACGCTTCTAAACTTTCTTTCTCTCTAGTTCTTCCCTCATGGTGGACAATAGGTCTAGTCAGCAAACTGGTGACTCAGTTGCCATGGATAGTACAAATTCCCCTTCATCTACTTCCATAAAATGGCTCTCTCTACCCTATACTTTTAACAAGAAACACCCTTTCGTTTATACTCAATGCCAGTCCATCCATGCCCGCTCCATTTTCCCATACCAAGACACCCCCGCCGCCCGAATCTGTTACACCTCTCTTCTCAACATTCCTCATGAGTTATCCGCCATTATGTCCGCCAGCCATGTGGAAAGCCGGCCACTAGTTTTCGACGAAGGACATTCGCATATTTTATCGTATGGATTTAATTTGTTATGGAGTTCCAAAACGAGGGTAATCGAGCAGTTTCACATTAACCATCTGATCCTGCCTTATTTGTTCGCTTTTGCGGTTGGGGAGCTAGGATCAAGAGAAGTTGGGCCGAGGACTACAATTTATGTTGAGGCGGTGGATAGCCTTTTGGATGCTGCGGCGAAGGAGTTTGCCGGGACGGAGGAGATGATCATGCAAGGGGAGAAGTTGTTTGGAAAATATCCTTGGGAGAGATTCGATTTGCTTGTTCTACCGCCTAGTTTCCCTTATGGCGGAATGGAGAATCCAATGATGGTGTTTTTAACCCCAACTGTGATTAAAGGAGACGTCAGTGGGGCGCAGGTGGTGGCTCATGAGCTCGCTCATAGTTGGACCGGGAGCTAGATCACTAATCTGAACAACGAACACTTCTGGTTGAATGAGGGATTTACAACATATGCAGAAAAGAGAATTGTTGAAGCTGTGTTCAACTTACTCTGCGGTGATGCGGAGCAAATGTTTCAATGATTGTTGGTGTTTGGTTTGTTTCACATTGTTGTTATAGAATAGGTTTTTCTTTTTTTTTAGAATTTTTTTGTTGAATGTTGATTCACATCAAAAGTTTGCATCGATTCAAGTCGAACGGAGGGAAGCATCGGCACTTCCGATTCAAGTCGAACGGAAGGAAGCATCGGCACTTCCGATTCAAGTGAACGGAAGAAAGCATCGGCACTTCCGATTCAAGTATTCATCTATTCATCAAGAAGGAAAAGTAGAGGGAATGTTAGATTGTTGTCAAAGAGGAGGAAATGAAGAGTAGGGGGAATGCTAGATGGCTATCTGTTAGACTGCTGTTAATACATCACGTGCATGTAAAGGTGGTTAGTCTATTAGGTTGGTTAGCTAAGTCAGTTAGTTTGTTAGATGGTTAGTGGTTAGCTAACCTATTGTTATAAAAGCAGTGTACCAGTTAATATGAAGGTAATGCAATTCTTTACTGTGTATATTCTCTGTCATTCACACTTCCTAACAGGTATCAACTAAAAACAAACCGTATCTTTCCTGAAACTCAGGTGTACTCTATAAGAATTCCAACCCTGGATGAGTTGCCAATAGTTCACGGAGCACAGGTTTGAAGTCATCATGTCAAATTCGTAAGTACGGAAGAAAGTAAGTTTAAACATATAACATTAGACTATCAACAAATAATGTTGTTTAAGCACTCGAAAATGCATAAAGACCTGAGTGAGGTAATTGAGCTCTGGTTGCTTTAATATTGTATATATACTTGGGTTGCCATATCCATGGTCAGCATGTTGCCATTGACCCAATAATCAATAAATGCATCTCTGCAAGCAGTTTAGAGAAAAATATCAGTAAAAGCTACAATACAAAAAGGAAGAAAATGATATTACAGTTGAAAAACAATTACAAGGAGAAGCGATGCCAAATTAGGAGTCAGATTCTAAAATAAAATTTTCATCTATTTATCACTGTTGGTAACAATTTTATATTTAGAACACAGAGTACTCTTACGAGGCTCAATGGGGAGAGCACCAGATTCTCATAATTTTCAAATAAATATCTTAGCAGTTAAAAGAATATGATGCATCTGAGATATAAATATAGCTTTTCCACTTCTATGAACAAGAAACTATACCTTGTAACCACACCAGTGCTATTAACATCAATTTTTCTGAAAAGTGATAGAGAGAAAAATGAAGGCAGCTTGCAGATTTCTTTGGTCACTAGTTTGAATTCTGAAATGTATAGAAAGTAAAAAATGAATATAAGACAAGTTTCAGAAATATATGTTAAAGCACACATGCATTTATCTTACCAAGCAGCTGCAGCCCATCCGGATGCCCATAGAAGAACTGATTGATTCGAAACATGCATTGTTCTTTTAGATCATTTGGAGGCGGACGACCATTTTTGAAGTAAAACTGGAGGTGTTTTCAAGGACAAATGTAACAAGTTAAAGCTGATTTCGGAATAGAAAGGAAAATACAACAGAAAATACAACCAAGAAACCGAGAAAAGAAAATTATAATATCAAATATACAAGATCCAAACCTGAGGTATGAACTCTTTCACAGGCTCGCTAACTACTTTCAGTGGAGAACCTAAGTTTGAAGGACCAGCCCTTTGTTTTGTTATACGAGGGGAACCAGATTCTCGGTGAAAGGGGAGGAGCACTGCCAGCAGGAAACAAGGAAGGTAGAGCATTTCTTATTGCAGTACTTCCGGATGAAAAGGGAGAAGATGAAAAGAGAGATATATGAGAAGACGACCGCCCGTCTCGCCGGTGAGAAGGAGGCCACTGGATCGCTCGATTTTTCAGTGTGGAGCAAGGGACGGGAGAACGAAGTTGTTTTCGACGTGGAGCAAGGGACGGGAAGGAAAATGACTTACCCTTTTCTAAACGGTAAGTCATTTTACCATGTTTTCCTTTAAGTTTTATGTTGACTGTAAACCAAATTACATTGACCGTAAAATGTTTTCCCCCAACCGGACAGACTCTTATTTTCCTTGAAATCTTCATTCTCTTTAAGAGTTATTTTATTATAAATAATGAAAAGTAAATCCCTTAATAAGGGGAAATTATTATATGAAACATGTAATTCTAAATTTTTTAATAGTATGTGACGATTATAAGATAATATATGTTAATAATATTTTTAATCAATTGATAACATACATTGCAAATTCAAATACTTGAATCAGAACTTCTAAAAAAAACATTATTCCTTTAATTACGGAGACTACTTGATGAGTCGAGAGCTTTAATCCTAACTACTTGCTTGATATCTCATCTCTTGAATATTTAAATCTGTGTGTGAGTACAAGTACTATAAATTTAAAGAGTGCTTTATTCAATTGCTCGAGAGTTGAACAAATATGTTTTGTAGTTTAACAAAGTTGAACTGCATATCATCATCCCTCGTCATATCATAATTTAGTGTATGTTTAAGTTCATTCAGGCAGTCCCTTATTCCTCTTAATCTTCCTCGTCATCGGTGTCGACGATTCCGACCCAATTTGTGAATGCGAAAAGAAACTCTTTGAAGCACACCGATCCATTTTTATCCCAGTCCATTTCTTCTGCAAATGCACAGATACACCATACGAGCCTTAACCTTTTGTATGGATTCATAATGTACATGCATTTTGCTGCATAATTTATCTAGCCAAGTATGCACCTAGATGCTCATATGATATGGAAAATGTGAATAATAGAGCTGACCAAATCTTTTCATGGCTAGTTTTCCGGCCGATCGCTCCCCAGATTCATTGACGGCTTGAGCCATCTCGTTCCTGCTGACGAAACCATCCTTGTTCTTGTCTAAGAACACGAATGCTTCCACAAAAGTTTCGAATGTCGCCTCCAAATCCGGCATCCCCATTCTTGATTTCTGGCAATGTCATGGAAGACCAAACTTATAGGGATGCCATTGACTGTGATCTAACAAAGAAACAGTCATAGACGTCCTGAATTTGAGCAGCTGGGTGTGTGTTGTCAACGTGCTAACAAAACATCTGAACAGTGAAAATAACAACCGTATAACCTCAAAAAACAGTGAGAGTGAATCAAGTATTGTGTTAAGGATACAGATTCATGTTCATTAGCATTGTCTTTGAGAAGATAAACCAGGCAAAGAAGTACAATGAACTCATTGAAATTGATTCCCATATCCTTATTGATGTCGCATGCGTTGAAGAGATCGGTTATCTCCTCCTCTGTGAAAGAAACTTGAAGCCGTTGGCAACATTTTTTCAGCTCTTGGTGGTCAATTGCACCATTTGAATCCTCATCTACAAAAACAAAACAAAACACAATGCAACCAAGTGTCTCAAATCATGACAGAAATGAATTGGGGAAGAAAGGGGGCATACCAAACTGCTCAAAAACAGCTTTGCACTTCCTTTAGTTCTCATCGATTTTAGGGAATTTTAAGATTACGGTGTTGAAGGATTTCATTGCAGTTCCTGCAGATGCCCTTCGCTTCATGGCTTCAACCAGTTTAGCTTCTAGTTTTGTTTCAGATGATCTGTCGTTTTCGATTTCGCCTCCCATTTCCAACTAAAAAACAAATGGAAAATGACGGGAGTTTAAAAGCAAAGTTGGATCCTTTTAGTGTTCTGGTACCCTAAAAACAAGTGGAAAATGATGGGATTCAACGACCTTTGTGCCCCCGCCAAAGGCAAACAAGAAAACCAAGTAAGGTTATTAATTGTAAAGAGAGAAAAGAGGAAGAAGAAAGAAGCAAAGACAAAATTAAAGAAGGATGATGAAGAGAAAGAAAGTGGGAGTTGATTTTGTCCATTTTGATCTGAGTTGAAAGAGCACGGTTTATGGTGAACCCACCACGTTTTTGGTTTCGTGACGAATCACCAATCGCCTTCGTTTCTGTTCCATTGTTGCAATGCAGCTACCAAATTATATGCATTGACTTTTTCCCCAAAACACCTATATATCGTTAGCAATCATTTATAAATGATAATCGTGGTAAGATTTTTTTTAAAAATTTTGAATTCGAATAATTACATTTGAGGTTTCGAGTTCGAATAATTATATCTGCTGAACGTGCATTATGTTGTCAATAAGTTAAGAAAATTTTGAATAGTTACTACCTTATAATTACCAAATTATTTACATGCTAATTTTTTTAAACAAATCCAATTAGGGATGGAATTGGATGGCAAACAGGCGGGTCGGATGCGGATACCCCTTCCTTCATCCCTATCCCCACCTAATATTTTCAAATCCACCACCCGCCCACCACCCATGTTGGGGTACATTCTCAAATCTATCCCCACACCCACTATCCAATTGGAGACGTACCCGGCTAGACTCGCCTGACAACATATATCTTTTACAATATTAAGATTTATAAATTAATCTCTAAAATTATATCTAAATTCATAATGGACCAAAATTTAATGGGTACTTAGTGGGCAGGCAGATGTGGGGCGGGCGGATGTGGGACGGATAAGGTCTCAAACCCATCACCCGCTCACTACCCTCGATGGGTACCACTTTCTAAATCCACGAAATGGAGCAGATACGATGTGAAATCCACGAAATTATACCCGTTTATCATCCCTAAATCCGATGCCATCTGATTAATTAAATGCCACCTCATAACCTATTTGTACTAAATACCATAATGATAAACCGTTTGATCATTTAGATACCAAATTGAACATTTCTAAAGTGGAGGTGCCACTTTAGGAAATTTGGTAAACTTTAAAGACCATTTATGACATTATCCTTTTCTCCCCCATTTTGGGTAACTGGTACTATAACGTGTTTTTCTACATTGAACCCTGTGGAATATGTAAACTATCTGTCCAGTCTTTCCAAATGCAAAGCTGAAATCTCATCTTAATATATACAGCAAAACACGTAAACAAACAAAGATACAGCAATGGCAAAATCTGCAGCCCAGAAACCTCGACACACTGCACTCAAAAATAAATCGCGTGCCGAAAACTCTTACACAGCGCACGTTAAGCAATGGCAGCCAGTACAGGGTGGTTTGCCTCTTTCATCAAAATTTGATTCCATCTAGAAAATCAAATAATCTTGTTTTTTCGTTCTATAGCTGGACTCCTGCTCCTTCCAGTGCAGCTGCCTCTTCCAGTCTTCGCTTCTTTTGGACCGAGTTGAAGGCTTCAAGAATATCTCCTTCCTGCCATTCACCGTAATCATCCATTCCCATACCGCATTCCAAACCAGCATTTACCTGTCATGCGAGGAAAAGGATCCAAAAGTGTCATGTGAGGGCTTAGGATGGAGAATGAGAACAAAGAAAGAAGCAGAACTAGGAACCAACACCATACCTCTTTAACAATTTCCTTAACCCTTCGCAATGAATCAAGAACACCAACATGGACTGTGTGGCCATTTCAAATGACACGGATGCAACATCCATTCACTACCTTTCCCTCTGTTACCATACAACCAGCAACACGGCCACTTCCACTGCTGAAAACAGCCCGAACCTCTGCAGAGCCAATTGGAACTTGTTCCTATCAAAAGAGAAGCAGTACATGTCTCTGCTACCTCTGTATTGCTTGGGTTCCAATAAAATTGAAAACATGACTCTGCAAAAATCTTCTTCTTCTTTTCGAGAGAAACCGAAAAGGAGCCCCCCCAATATTATGATTTTTTTTGGGGTTTTTACATCCCCTGTATTACATGCAAAGAAAGAAAATATATATATTGATTTGCTGATTTGGTTGGCTGACGAGGAGAGGGAAACCATCTCCTGTGATAGCTGGTGGTCAGGGTATGGGCTACTGCTGCTGGCGGTATGGCTGTGGGACGGTTGACTGGAGTAAAGATGGCAGGGATTTGGTAAAAAAAATGGTGATTACACCTACTAAAAGTTCTTTTAGACAAGGAAACTCTTCTAACACAAAAATAGTAGGACGATGAAACCAGTTCAGAGAAATAATTAGTCAAAGAAGTAGCAAAAAATGATATGGGCGATGAACACAAGCGAAGCTAAAGAAGAGGAAGGCATTGTTCCTACAACTATCACCATTGTAAAGCGAAAGTGTTCGTCTGAATTAGGAGCAAAAAATGAACAGAAACATTAAAAAAAGAAAAGGGAAAAGGCTTACCTCTATCTTTTATTGGGTAATTGAGCAAAATGATAAAATTGTGAGGTGGAGGTTATAGTTATGGGGGACAAGCAAAACTAAAAACTGAGGTCTGCGAATCTCGACATGTTGTGGGTAATGTCATTGTGTGGTTGATTCTCCGCCTGTCGATTTATTTTCTCTTCGGTTTTCATGTGACAAAGTAAATAACCGACATTTTTTTTTGGATAAACTACATAAATGATCATTTATGTTTGATTAAGTTTTCATTTTTCTTATTGATATGCCAAAAATAACAATTTAGTTATTAATGTTGTGGATTTATAACAAATCGATAATTCATTATTAGCATTTATTACTGTAATAATAAAATATTTATATGATATGTTAAACTGACTGATCTAGTATCATTTGAAAGAAGAGAGAGAGCACAATCCAGGATTTGCAAAATAAGAAGTTTTCATGAGGTAAAACTTTATAGTTTTACACTATGTAGTTGAATCGTTTCCCATATATATAGGGTTAGAGTTCACTTACACTGTATAATTGATAAGTTTTACATTAATTTATAGTCATTAGATTTAAATAAATAAAAGACTTAAATTTAATTAAAATTTATAATAAATAAATAAATATTTCTTTAACTCGCATTAGAATAATATTTTTTTATTTTTAGGGCTTTAGGTTTAGGGTTTAAGGTGCATTTGGTTCGCGGAATGTAAGATTACCAGTGGGAATAAAAGATTAATGAGAATGTTGTATTTTGTGTTTGGTTGGTTTAGCAGGAATGTAAGATTATCGTGTTTGGTTAAAGGAATAAAAGATTATTGGAATGTATATTTGATCAAATTGTCCTTATTATATATTTGTTTTTTTAACAAGTTGGAAAATATGTATATATTTTCTTTAAAAAATTTAAATTCATAAAATTTATATAATTTTTTTATAAAATTGAAAATATAAAAAAGTTTAATGAAAGGGTAAAATTTTATTTTAACCCCCGAACTTCATATAAAATTTTAATTATAGATTTTTTTTTGTAAATCTAAAATAATTTAAGGATAAATTTGAAATTTAACATTCGTAGAATTTTTATTATTCAATGACAGAATAAGAATATTTTTGAAAGAAAAAAATTAAGGGCATTTTAGTCCAAAACGCCGGTAATCCAATAATACCTAAGGAAAGAGAGGTAATGACGTTCTCAGTAATATATCCCAAAAATCCACTATTGGTAATGTAAGATTATCGGGAATGACATTCCTGGCCAACCAAACGGGAGAATGTGGATTCCATTCCCATGTGCTCACATTCCCCCAACAAAACACACCCTTAGGGTTTGAGATTTTGAGACTTAGGGTTTGAGATTTTGAGACTTAGAGTTTGAGATTTGAGATTGGAGTAAAAAATATATTGGTTTACTGTAAGTTAAAAGATATTTATTTATAGATTATAAATTTTAATTAAATTTAAGGTATTTATTTATTTAAATCTAATTATTATAAATTAGTGTAAAACTTATTATATACATAGAGAGAGGGCATAATATGCTTACACTATGTAAAATTAATAAGTTGTACACTAATTTATAACCATCAGATTTAAATAAGTAAATAATTTAGATTTAATTAAAATTTATAATTCATCAATAAATATCTTTCAACACGTAGTAAACAAATATTTCTTTTTATCCAATCTCAAACCTAAACTTTAAACCCAAATCATAAATCCTGAACCCTAAAACTTAAATCTTAAACTCTAACCTTTAAAATATTGTTTTATTGTGAGTTAAAGAAATATTTATTTATGTGTTATAAATTTTAGTTAAAATTAAATAATTTATTTATTTAAATGTAATGATTCTAGATTGGTGTAAAACTTATTAATTTTATGATGTGTAAATGAGTCCTAACTCATATATATTATGTATAAATACTATATATATATATATATATATTATTTTTTTAATATACTAGAACCATGAGGTTCTAGTACCACTGCGAATCATACGATCATGTGCTGTAATTTCTTCTTGACCATTTATCATTGTTTACACACACACACATATATATCCTTTTAAGTGTTTCTTTTGTGCATGAGCAGCGCTTGTTTTGAGTCGTAACTCGTGGAGCATCCTTCAATGTCTTTGGTTTCTTCATTTGTTACTTCTGCAGCGTTGTGAGAAGCTTCAGTTATCGAATTAGAAGCCTTCTTCGTTTTTCTTCTTACTGGGTTGCTTCTTCTCTTTGGGTTTTGTTTCCATCTCTCTTAGTTATAGGCTTTCGGCTTCGTTTGCTTAGGCACGTTCTTCGTCCACCTTCGGTTCTTTTGCTTAAGCACTTTGCTTAATGTTGGTGTTCCAATTCCGAGGAGTCTCTAGTTTCACCTGCTTAGTGACTACTTGTTGACTCATGTTTCGCATTCCGAGTGCTCCAATCTGCATCATCTATTTCAATCATTTCCCCCCTTCTTTTCTAGAGAGCTTCCAGTGTTGCAGTAGAGAATCATCCTCAAGTAAATCATATAACATAAGTTAAATTAATTATTTAATCAAACATTAAAAATATTCTTTATTATTATACCTATTATCTATCGCAGAATAATAATTACTGGTGACAATAAAATATGACAATTAACGTAACGATAAAAGATGATAAAAATAAATTAGAGAATAGACTAAATTAATGTAATATTTAGATGATGAAATTTAATTAAAATTAATTTATAATAATAACTAAATATTAAAAGTTTAATTTATATACTTTTAATATAATAATATCAATATAACACAATGTTTTTTCTCTCTCTCTCTCTTTCTTTCTTCTTCATCAAGATAATAATAGAAAAGTTTTGTATTAATATACAAATCTAACTTCTCCGGACGGCTAAGGTCCATACTTAATTGTGTGTCACTAAATAAAACCCCAAACTAAAATTAAACTCAATTTATATCACAAATAAATACTTAAATTATATTTCCATTTTATTTAGATATTTATAATTTTTTTTTTCAAAATAAACACTTAAATTATCTTTTTGGTCAAAATATGTACCTAAAGTATTTTATGTTAAAATAGTTACATAAACTATTTAAATTTTGTATCTAAGTTCTAAAAAAATTGACATATGACATTAATCAAAGAATACATTATTTAGATAAAAAATTAAATATTTTAATTATCTATTTTGATCGAAAAATATTTTAAATACTTATTTTAACTAAAAAATAATTTCATTTTGATTAAAAAATAATTTAAATATTTATATAAAAATAATATACTTTTATAAGTCTTTAAACTCTCGTATAACTTATTAAGTTGCAACTTCCGTACACGTTGTTGCTCGAGTTCCAAAGTCCTTATGATGATGAAAAGAAGAAAGTGACTTTTAAAGAAAAAATATTTGACTTTTATTATGGGTGATTTGGATGGTTGGCCAATAAACACTGCAAATTATAAAATACTAAAAGGTAATAAACTTAAAATTTTAAATCACATAAATGTAATATAATTAAAAATTTCATAAAATTAAAGCTTTTTATAAAAAAATTGGTAAGATTATTTGATTAAGTTTTAAATATTTTATTATTATTTTAAAAAAAAAATTAAAAAATAAATAATTACATTATCATTGACATGTGAGATATTTTTTTCCATCATTAAAAGTTATCACTATCAATAAAAATGTCAAAATAATGAATATAATTAAAATTTGGACCAATTCAAGAGTAAAAACCTTTTAGGTGTTGACTTAGAATAAATTGAATAATTTAAATACTAATTTTGAAATAAATTTTTTAGAATGTTAACTCAAAAATTGATGATTAATTCAGATATTTAATATTTATTTAAGTTTTATTTAAATAATTTCTTGCTTTTGTATTGAAAAATAGAAACTAGTTTGTCCTTCAAATCTAGACATTGTTGGTTGAAAGTTACAAGGCAACAAATTAAAAAAAGCAGCTTAGAGATTAGGCTGAAGCGCATTAAAGCATTTTAGACTTTTTCTACTTTCATGTTTATAATTCAAAAAAAGTGGGTCGAGAATAATTAAGATCAAAAATAAATTCAACCTGACCTCAATCGGTCAATTTTACACGGAATTCAAGAAGTACTTATCGGTCGGGTTAAGATCCAGTCATAGTCATTTACTCATATACAATATGAACAAAATATGTTTTCTTAAAAAAATATTAATTGTATATGTAGTTATTTACTTATTTAAACATAATTTATAATTAAAAAAAGTAGGTCGAGACATAATTAAGATAAAAAATAAATTCAACCTGACCTCAATCGGTCAAATTTACACGGAATTCAAGAAATACTTATCGGTCGGGTTAAGATCCAGTAATAGTCATATACTCATATACAATATGAACAAAATATGTTTT